AGTCAATGTCGGTCTTTGGCGGAGAGCTGCGGGCGTACGCTTTTTATTCGGCTCGGTGGGAACTTGGAAGAGCCCTGCGTCCAGCTCGCATACCGGGGACGGCGCGGGGACTGCAGGCGTGGGGGTACCTGGCTCCTAGCAGCCTGGCTCATACTCAGCCGTAAAGTCCCCTTCGCTGGTCCCGAGGACGGGCATGAATCCGGGCTCCGGAAGGCGGTCACTACTCCCTCTGCTTCCCGGCTCTCGCTGTGGCTCTCGCTCCCTCGCTCGCTCGCTCTCTCCCTCTCTCGCTCGCTCACTCGCCTGCGCTCTCCTCCTCCCCCCCGCGCCAGATCAGTTCGCAGCCGTGGGGACCGGGAGCGAGGCGGCTGGCGAATGGAGAGGGAAGTCCGAGTGCGCCGCGGTCTCCGGGCGGGGAGCAGCAGAGGCCGGGCTACGCGGGAGGAGGGACTTAGCCGGCGCCCGGCGAAAATGAATGGGGGAGCGGCCGCCGGGGGGCGGGGAGGGAGGAGCCGCGCGCCGGGGTTTATTCTGAGGAGTGTTTTGTACGTCTTTAGGCGGAGGAGGAGAAGGCAGACGAGGAGAGCGGGGAGGCCGCCGGCGAGGGAGGGGCGGCCTGGGTGGGCTGAGGCTGAGCCTCCGGGGAGTCGCATGGGTCTGGGAGGAGGGTGGCGTGTCTCGGTGGCTGAGCATCTAAAGGGACCGTGTGTACGCGCAGACCGCGAACCGCGGTGCTCCTAAGCGTGTCTGGAGCTGTGTGCGTCGCGAGTATCTGAGTGCTTGTGGTTGTGCGGGTGCTTGTGTGTATCCATCTGAGTGTGGGTTTTGAATCGAGCGAGGTCCGCGTGGGTCCGATTGTATCTATCTGTCTCTCCGTGAGTATTTGAGACCGTTTCTCGGTGTGTGTAGGCGAGAGCCCACGTAACCTCACAGAATTAGCAAGTGCTTCTCTACGTGGGCGGGCTGTAGGAGTGAGAAGCTGCGGGGACGCAAAGTTCTCTCCGGAGACCACCAAAGGCAGGGAGGAGGCGAGCGTTCAGGGACTAAGGCAGCTAAAGACTCGGGGTGCAACCGGACGCGTGAACTGGGATTGCTGACGCTGGGCCTCCCTCCCTGAAGCAGCAAAGATGGCCCTACGTGGTCAAAATTCCCACACGGTGCTTATTCCGTATGTTTGCTTACTTTGCTCCCTTGTGCTCTAAGGCACATCAGCAATGCAGATCACTAGTCCCTGGAAGAGAAAGCAAGAGTAGAAAGCATCCGGGAAGCTACCAGCTACAGGGGTACGAGACCATACGGAAAAACTGATGGGGAATTTAAAGGAATTCAGATTCCATAAAAGTGCAACCTCTGAAGGGGTTGGCCTTCTGGAGCTATATGATCCTGGCTAAATTACCCCTTAAACTTGCATTTCTCATACGTCTAATAGTATAATATGATTATCTATCTAATAGGATTGGTGTGGAATTTAAACGAGTTAATGTATGTAAAAGCACTAAGAATGCTCTCTGGCACCAAGCGAGTGCTCCGTGCAAGCTATCCGTTATTATGATTGCTATTGTAAATAGAGTTTGTATTACCCAAGGGGTGACAGGAGAGAGAAATGCTCACCAGGGAGGCATAGAAAAATCTAGGTGCCAATGAACTAACTGGAGAAAGGGAGTCTTGAAACAAAATGGAGGAAAGGTGCTTGAGTGATAAACTGGGAAGTTGAGAAAAACTAACAAGCAAGAAAGGGGCGAGGAAGAAGGAAGAAAAGAGAGAGAGCTAGCTGAGTCTCTAAGAGTAAAGGACTGAGAAGAGGAAGCGTACAGCCGCCAGTACAGAGCTCCTGTAAGCCTCTCCAGTCAGTACCACGGACAGCGCCCCAGCCACTAGCCAACCCAAGGATTTCCGTCAGTGCCTGGTGGAAACTTCAGTCTGGGCAACTTTCTGCTCTCCCTGGCTTCTGGTCCAGGCTCAAATCCTGGGCAGGGATTACTGAGACAGTCCTGATTTTGATTCTGACCACGAGGAAATACACTTCCTGTACACACTGTTTCCCCCGTCCATTTTGTACTGACTTACCTTCTATTCTTTTCTCCCTCTTCTCTTTTCTCCCCCTCTTTTTCTGCCTGGCAGTATTCCCAACCCTTCCATTATCCTCTCCCCATGCCCGCCTTTCTTCCTGCTTTTTCGTCCTCCCTCAGCTGTATCTGCCTCCTTAAGCATTAGTGGACAACAGAAGTCTTGTTGGTAGTGCAGTTCTGAAACCAATCTGAGACCATATAATCAGATGAGGACCAAGGTACAAACGGATTCCTCTTAGTCCTTCTCTCATAATCAGTCTCCCAAGATGTGTGGTGGTTCGGATGCCTTAGAAGAAGGAGACTTCATGCTTGGGACATATTTCTATTTTTCTATTTCCCACCACACATAGTCAGTATTTCCCTTAGGAAATATAGAACTCTTTCTAGTTCCAACTACTATTAGAGAGGAAAATAAGAGTGACTTTTTGAACTTTTACCATGCACCAAGTAATTCACTTTGAAGGTTCAATATATTATTTTTACAATTCTCAATATGCTGTGAAGTACAAGGTAGACGTTACTACCCAACTTATACAAAATAAAAAAAGAAAAAAAAATAAGAGGAATTGAACTTTATAAAGGTTGACTAGCATGCCAGGGTATAGTTAGTAGGTGATGAAGTCAGGAATTCTAAAACCTTAGTCCACATCCAAAATACTTATTATGTCTTCCAAGAATAATGGGGAAGCCCTGGGTGGTTGAAGATCTTGGAATTTAATGGGGTCACCACACCCAACCCTATATATCAACTGAAATGGCTGGGACCATTGCATTATCTGTGGCAATAGAGGATTTACTAGCTCTTGTCTCTGGAGAAGAAGGTGAAGGCTTTGCATGGACAGATTTAAGGCTCAGCTGAGCCTTGTGATTTCTGAGTTTTGAATAAAACTTCAACCTTTCCAGGTCTTAGTTCATTTGCATTTGGCTCTGTTTAGCTTCCCTGTTTCTAGGAGGAAAGGCTAAGAGGGCCATTTTTAAATGTCTCCAAAGACTCCTTGGTCATCAGAAAAGTTCTCAGTGCAAAGCATTCCTAATGACTTATGGAGAAAGCAATCAGAACCATATGGATAACATTTCTGCAGAAATACACATGGGTGGGAAAAGGTTTAGAGGCCAAAAATATATTTCTTTTTTTCTCCTTTGCCAAAGAAAGAACATTTAAGGCAGCTTGAGATATGTGAGAAATGTCTTGTTCTTTCTTTGGGGTGGGTGTTGGTGAGCAGCTGTTTGCTATTTTCACTGAATTTACCAAGGGCTTGCATGGGGTGGACTTGCCAACAGATTAGGATAGACTTCAGAAAGAACTTCCTGTCTGTAAATCTTAGAGTGATACTAAAATAGGATCTTTTTTCAAGGGCATTTAATAAGAAAATGGAATGTATCACAGCCTCCCATTCATAGTATTATGGATTTGATAAACAATGGACAATGTTTCTAGCAGTGCAGACTATTTTAAAAGCCTTGTGACTGGGGCACCAGCAGGTGGTGTGGTTGTTAAGATGCTGGATTCCCACATGGCCAACCACAGTTCAAGTCCTAGACCTGGCTGCTTGATCTCTCTTGATCTCTCTCTCTCTCTCTCTCATGCATGCATAGCAAGCTAAAAATTAATTAATTAATTAATTAAACTAAATAAATAATTCCTTTTTAAAAAAAAAAGCTTCATAACTACTACGGACCCTCTCTGTTATTAAAAATATCTGTTGAGAAAAATATCCACAAAGTTTTGCACAGAATTTGACTGAACTCTTTTGTTGGTTTCATTCATGAGTGTCTATCCCTGGTACCCAGTTTCAGGACATGTCAATGACTTTTCTGGTCTTCATACTGACCTTAGGTTTTATAGGATGTTACACTTAGATTTGAGCTTAACAAATTTGAAATAGGAACCCCATGGGGAATCAACAAGCAGGTAAACAACCTTTTTTCTAGAAATAGACAAGAAATATAGATAAACATTCTGTGATGAAATGGGGGTTGCATTTTTCCCTCCTTAAATAAAGATAAGATTTTTCCTTGTTTGTGCTGGACTCTGAGCCACCTGCTGCTGACTCAAAAGCTTAAGTTTACTACTCCTGTCAAATCTCAAAGGAGTTAAAATCCCTTAATCTGGGGTACTTTGGCTTCAGAACAGGCTGAACAATTGCAGAAAGAAGCCTACATTTCTTAAGTGCCTATTGAATGTGAGGTAGTGCAGAAGATTCAAAAAATGAATGCCTTTCCTAGTCTCTGTCTTCCAGGAGCCTAAGTCCATTGCCAGGCCATACTCATGTTCAAATAATCACAATGCACCATAGACTGTAGCTGACATGGTTAGGGTCTAGAGAAAAATACAGCCAAGAAGAGGAAAAGTTTGCCCCCATGTAAGGTATAATACTTTGCACCTATCGACAGCTGGTTTTTTCTTTAGTTTTAAAGGCAGTTAAATTAATAAGCACCAATCTTTAACTGAGTGATTACTACGTATGATCAGCTTTCAAGCCTTCCATGTATCTTCTCTATGGTTTTATGAACATATCTTCATTGAATGAAAATGCTATTTATTTTCTCCCTTTCTTTCTCTGACCTCTCTTCTTTCTCTCTTCCCTTTACCATTCCCATCCCACCCCAACAATGCTGGGTAGTATGATTAAAATACTATTCTCATTCATCATTCTACTTACCCCAAATCTGGTAGACATTTAACTGCATACCAAAGTCAGAACCTTTCTGCCCAGAAATCAGTACTCTTCATCATTGGCCCTTGTGTTATGTATCATTTTAAGTGTACTAGTTATCATCCTGAACCTTTTTAGTCAACAAAAATTAACTGGCCTTGGTTCCTAGTTTTCCTCCTACTCTGCCCTTATTCACACTGGTTCCTCTACTGCCATGTCTTTTTCTCCCTGGAAACCCTTCATTTCTATATGATCAAATCTGACCTTTCCTTAACTATTTAATTTACATGCCATCTCCTCTCTCATTTCAATTTTAACAGAGTGTACAAAGCTAGGCATGATATGGCTCTGACTTTCACTCTCAGTATTATGCACCCATCCTCCTCTCCACTCCAGCCCCTGGCCCTCTCCCAATTACTAAAGTTGACCAAGTTAATTTCTGTCTTTAGGACTTTGTGCTAGATTTCCACTGCTAGCCAAGTCTCAGTCACAATCATTTGTAAACATTACTTTCTTAACATCTAGGCAAAGGCTATCAATTCTCTGATAACCCTTTACATATCCTCCATAACCCGTATCATCATTGCAATTAAACAGATATTGGTAACCTTATTTGTTTCATATGTGTTTTCCCAGCTAGATCTAAAACTCAGAGGCATAAAAGATATCTTCATGATTAGAGCTCAGAATATAAAGAT